TTTTTTTTTCTTGTGTACTTGTATGTTTATTTGACATTTATAAAATATGTCTTCTTGGTTAATGAGAATGTTTTCGTATATGCGTACATCTGTATTACTCTATAGACAACAAAAAAAACTATATGTTAATCGTTTTTTATCTATCGAATTTATGTCTTGTAGTCACAATAAATAGTTTTCCTCTTTTATTATATCTATGAATTTTGTTGTTTATTTTTTGTCTTCCTAATATTTTTAAAATAAATATTTAATGTTTGTTGTAATAGTTCATTCGATAGTATTCTTATTAAAAATGGGTGTGGGTGTGGGTGTAGACATTTCTACTTTATCTTCTTCTACACGCACAGTCACACCCTCAAGATAGTTTTAATTAAAAAAATCAATTTACTATTATGAAATATTTTTTGTAGAAAGATGAAACACTTGATAAAGCAATTGAAATTCTTCGAAAACTTAAAAAGAATTAAAACTTCAGTAACCATTTGATATAAAAATAAATAAACGACATATCGTTCAATAAAAAATTTAAAGAAGCAACTTGTTTTATAGTTCTATACAATTTATCGATAAGATTTATATATCGCTTACTATAATTTACAAGATCAAAAACTTAACAATATTTTTTTTATTTGATATATACCATCGCTCAACGGTACGAAGCAAAGCATTTATGAATAGATGCTTTTTCAACGAAAGAATAACGTGTGGATATATACTATATAGCAAATTGATTCCATTGTCGAATATTTTGTAGCATAAATTTTATTTCATTTTAATAATTAGTTCAAACCATTCAAAAAATACTGATTATCATATGTTTTCCGTTCGTAAATATCGCTAGCTTTAAGTTCAACATAAATATATTCTCACGATAAAATATATATGTAGAAGATATTGAGAAATAAAAAACATACGTTGATGTACAGTATAATGTTGGATTGTATTAATTATTTTGAATTCTACTTGCGTATGTAAAAAATTAGTTTTAAAAAACCGACATGGCAAATCGATTCCTCGACCCCGATTACTTTTGATCAAACTTGAATTTCAAGATAATAATATTTTTTTGATCTTTTGTTTTTTCTCATGTGATTCAACCTACAGTCGAGAGTAGAGGGCTGCAGGGCAAGACATTTTAGCAACCAGTACCCTGCCCTTCCCAGATTTTGACAACCTGCAACCTGCCCTGCCCTGTAAATTTTTCGCGCACCCTGCCCTGCCCTGTAAAAAATTTTGTAACCTTTAACCTGCCCTGCCCTACGACCGGCTTAACCTGCCCTGTCCTGCCCTGGCCGGGCAGGGCAGGTTAGCTCAACCTGCAGGGCTCTAGTCGAGAGAATAATTTTTTGATTAAAAGATTAATCTTTGTTTATGATTTTCAATATAGCGTAATTAAACATGTTCTTTTTATCTACGACAATGGTCAAAAGACAATTCTTTGAAGCTGTTTTTGAAAGTATATTTCTATATAAGTTAGTGCATCATTTCGTCAGTTTTATACCAAGAATTACTATAAATATAAATGGACTATATTATTAAAGACAACTTTGAGTATTCATTTGAACGTGAAGCGAGTTGCAGCGACGAATGTTCTTTGTGTTTATTTGTTGAAATTTCATGTTTTCATCCTAATATTCATCTCTATGAAATTGTTGTATTTCAAATCTTTCACAGAGAAGGTCTTTCTACATTGTGTAGAGATTATATAATTTTTTTATGTTTTGATATAGTATAAAATCATCAGGTAGCTTGATACATATACAGCTCGTATGTGCAATTGACGTGTAACACAAAACATACGTCTTATCATTATTGTACGAACGAAAGGAATAAGATACACTTTATTATACGTATATAATCAAGAAACTAAAACTACACAAAAGAAACCTATGGATACAAGCCTGTACAGTCGCGGACGTGTATATGCTTCGTTGGAAATAATTGCTTCTCACATGTATTTTTCTTTATCTACCTTTGTATTATAATTACTGGTAAACGATGTTTATAACTATCAATATAAACACAATGTATACATACATGAATTACAATGTATTTGTTTTTGATTTTTTCCAACATAACACAAACAGTATTTATGTCTGATCATCATTGTATAATAAGAAAAAAATAAAACAACTCCCTTGTTTTTCTCATAATATACTTTTGTATTTTTTTTGTATAAATACGTCCGTCACATATCAATTCATTTACCATTTCAATTGTCTTCGAATATTCTCTAAAGGTAAATATTACATTTTATCATTTTTTTATTTTGTATATAATCATTTTATTACAAAGTTAGCTTTAAGTTCAATTATATGATTTTAAGATATATATTCTCACATAGATAGATTTTTCTTTCCTTCATATTTCTATCTTGAAAGACAGTAATAATATTTGAAATCTTTAAATATTCATCATCATCAACTATTTATTTTTTTCATCATAAGAAATACTTAATCTTTCGTTATAGATTATCGATATTTATTTCCAAAACAAAAAAACATCAACGATTATTCACAGAGAAAAATTATGCAAACCAACAATCTGCCTATACATACAATACAAACAGAAGTTCCATTCAATAATCAACAAATAAATTATCGTCAACCTAAATCCAGCAGAAATATTCGTATACAAACAAAATTAACTGCAAAAAGACTTGATGATGAATCGGAAAATTTTGGAGAGTACATACGGACTAAAAATATTGGCATACAAACAGCATCTGCCGATATTGTCTTGGATGACAACGTAGAGAACGGACGTAAATATTCAAGAAATCGAAGAGGCAATATCAAGAATAGTTCAACAGATGAAAATCTTAATCAAGCAGTAACACGTGATGAAAGACAAAGAGTGAGATTAGTAGAAGATTCTGATATTGACGGAAATGGATCTGATGAACAAGAAAAACAAATTACAGAAAATATTACGAAAGATATCAATAAAAGTGATGGAGCAGAACTAAGTCCTATTGCAGGATATTCTGAAGAACCTTTATTACCACTTGCACAAGCATGTGCTCCATTAGCTGATATCTTTCATAATTTATCATTCTATGTTGACTTAGCATTAAAGGAAACTCCAGAACAACCACCTGATGGATTATCAATTGATGAAAGTGCTGCAATTCGTCTTTATACAATTGAATGGGATAGACCTCATCGAAGTCTCTATTCATTACTCAATTTTAATCTTAAAAATAATGATCGTGAAGCACTTCGACCTTATTTCAGATATATCAAATTGTTCTTAACTGCTCTTATTAAATTACCATGTGTACCATCATTAACTGTTTGGCGAGGAGTAACTAAAGATTTAAGTGCCGAATTTCCACCTGGTACTGCTTTGACTTGGTGGGCATTTTCATCATGTACGACGGAAATGACTGTACTTGAAAATGATATGTATTTAGGTCAAGAAGGTGATCGAACTCTTTTTTCTGTAGAAGCTATCAATGGTCGAACAATAAAAGCTCATTCGCATTTTATTACTGAAGATGAAATTGTTCTTATGCCAGGTACTCATATGATAGTTCAATCACAACTTAGTCCGGCAGCTAATTTATATATTATTCATTTGAAACAAATAGAACCAAAAGTAATGACACTTGAACCACCATTTGGAGGTATTGTATTCATTTATTATATATATATATTAATAATATTTTTTTTAATATTTAGGTGCACATATTTATCCAAAAATTAAGTAAGTCTAATCTAATTATTTTATTTGATGAAATTATTTCTTTTATTTATAAGACGTCCATTTTATCAAAAGAAACGATTTATGATTCCAGCGTGTTTATTGCTTACTCTTTGTATTGCTGGTGTTATTATTGGTGTAATTTTAGGAACACAACTAAGTACGAAATTTTATTATTATTTTTCTATTTTAAAAAGAATGAAGATTTATTATAAGAGAATTTAACATTCTATCGCATAGATATTCATAAGTAATAGATAGATTATAATAGAAAAGTAGATTCTCATATAGTTTCTTATTTTCTATCCAGTTAGATTATGAATATTCGAATTAATTTATTCTATATTTTGATAATAAATATTTTTGTTATTATCTACCAAATTGAGTGACTTATTCAATGTTTGATATCTTTAGCGTGGTTTTATTATATTTTTGAAAAACAAGATTAAATATTATGAATAGAAATGAGTGATAGTTCTTAATAATCATATAAGTAAATTATGATTTCATACAATTTTAACTTAACTCATTAACATTCTTTCTTTACAATGTGTTGATATTAATAGACTTATCATTTTTTATCAACTAAGAGAAAATTATAAACAAATAAATATTTGAATGAATGATGTATGTGATTATAGAAGATAATATCTTTTTTTAAGATAATAGAAAAGTCAGATGTCTTTGTATCAGAGATTATAATTCTATCATAATTACTGTTTAATCTATGTTTCATTATTATGTTTTTTAGAATATGTATGCGATGATCCATATAAATCACCTGAGTCTCTTGCTACTGGAAAATATCCATCATCATCTGTACTGGACGACTTTGATGGTGATACATATCCAGATGTGGCAATTGTAAACTCAAACGAAAATAGTGTGACTTTACTACTAGGTGGTGGTGATAAGGAGAAAGTTTTTCGAACAACACGACCTACTGTTGGTGATATACCAGCTATTATGATATCAGTTGATTTGAATAATGATACGGAAATAGATCTAGTAGTGACTAACACAGATGACGATACAATTAGTGTTTTACTAGGTTTGGGAAATGGTCTATTTCTAAATGCAGTTCCTTATGAAGTTGGTGTAAATCCATACGGTATAACATCTGCAGATTTTAATAATGATAAGCGACCGGATTTAGCAGTAACAAATCAAGATGACGGTACTGTTACTTTACGTTTTAACAATGGAAGCGGTTCATTTCCAACTACTACTATTGTTTCAGTTGGTCAGGACCCATATCTGATATTATCTGGGGATTTTAATGATGATAATAACATGGATTTGGCAGTATCGTATAGTTACAATACCTACATTGATGTGATATTTGGCTCTGGAGATGAAACTTTTAATGCTCCAATTCCATATAACACTGGTTATGATCCAGCTAATATGATTTTAACTGATTTAAATAATGACAAAAAACCGGATTTGGTAGTGTTCAGCAGTGAAGATTACACTCTTACCATACTGCTTAACAATGGAGCTGGAAAGTTTGATACGTTCACTGATTATCTCAATGGTTATTACCGCTTAACGTCTTTGACAGCAGGTGATTTCAATAGTGACAATAAAACAGATTTAGCAGTAGTGAATGCTGGTTATTACAGTATCACTGTACTTCTTGGGAGCGGTAATGGAAGTTTTCAATCGGGCATTCCATATTATCTTGGTCACTATGGATTAGACATTATTGCTGCCGACTTCAACAATGATAACAAAATAGATTTGGCAACAGTAAACAATGACCAAACAGCTAGTGTGGCATTTGGGATTGGAAATGGTTCTTTTACCAATAGAATTGATTATGTCATTGGTGAATCTTCCAAATGGCTAATATCATATGATTTCAATAGTGATGATAATCAAGATCTTGCATTAGTTGCTCAAGATAGTAACAATATTATTGTGTTACTTGGCGATGGAAATGCTCATTTTCAAGCTCCACTAAACAATACAGTTGGTGCCAATCCCGTTCATGTCTTATCAGCTGATTTTAATAATGATACCAAACAAGATTTATTAGTAGTTAATCAAAATGACAGCACAATCGGTGTACTCTTTGGGCATGGAGATGGTTTTTTTAATACTCCAATCAACTACACAGTTGGCAAATCACCCTTGTATGCATTTTCAGCAGATTTCAATTCTGATAATATTTTTGATATTGCAGTGGTAAATTCTGGGGATTCTACCATTAGTGTACTTTTTGGAAAAATAAACGGAACTTTTGAAATTCAAAATACATATCAACTTAAAGAATATCCAACATGTGTCATTTCCGCCAATTTAAATAAGGATGGAAAACAAGATTTAATAGTGACAAATGAAAATAATAATACAATTAGTATATTTTTTAATAATGGAAGTGGATATTTCATATATTCAAATGATTATAAAGTTGGTAGAGAACCGTCTTCTATAGCAGCTGCTGACTTTAACAATGACAAAAATATTGACTTAGCAGTTACTAACTCTGGTATGAATACTGTCAGTGTACTTCTCAACAATGGCAATGGTACTTTTGGTAATGCAAGTAATTTTATAGTTAAAAAAAACCCATATCGTGTATCAGCAAAAGATATTAATAAAGATGGAAAGATGGATTTAGTAGTGATCAATAGTGGTAGTGATAGTGTTAGTTTGTTGTTCGGTTTTGGAAATGGAAGTTTTAAAACTCAGAAAAAGTATAATGCACATGATAACCCGACTTCAATAGTAGTCGGTGATTTCAATAAGGATAATAAACAGGATATCGCTGTGACTAACGCGCAAACTAATGATTTATCTATTTTCCTCAACATGTGCTAAGACTGATGGTATAGTTTTCAGTTTATTCATATTCAAACTGATAATACGTTTTATATTAACAATTATAATAAAAATTTCACTTATTTTTTTTTAATTTTCACTGTTTTTTTACACATTATAGAATTTTTTTTTAATTTGCGTTTATGTATTTTTCTTTTAAGAATCTCAAATAAAGTTCTATATTTCTAATTTAATCTTTTTTTTTATGAAATTTAAGATAACGAAATTAATAAGTATCGAAGCAATATTTAATATGTTGGCAATGATGATACATGAAATGATTTTGAGTGTTGTTCTTATGATAAATTACATATTTGTAACATTAATGATCTTGCATTGATAATATTATGTATTCATATATATGAAATATGAAATAAAAGTTAACTCTATTAATTATTGACATTTTATATATTCGTCATTAAAGATTCCCTGTACTGACCTCGAAGGTAAAAATCTCAAATAATAGAAATATTAATGGGGCAAAAGCGTGGGTGCGTAACGACGTTAATGTTTTGTAAGAATTGTTTCATTAGAGTCAATAGTTCTAACAAGCCTATGAAAGAATGTCGTGCCACCATATTTTGAAAAGTAATAATATAATAAATAAAAAATAAATATGAAACCAATCATAGCAATGGCATAGTTCATTGGTTCTACATTGGGTATTTGATATGATGAAAAGAAAAATAATACGACAATAAAGATCATCCATAGAACTGCAGCAATAGAATTGATCAAACTAAATCTCTATAAGCAGAATATCGTTCTATGTTAGCAATAATTTATCCATCTAGTACTGATGATGATCTTAATGGATGGTTTATTTATTTTCAATATGAAGTTGCTATATACAGACAAGCTATGTGACGTATTATACTTGATGTTATACAATTCCGTCATCAAAATAAAATTTTAGTTTCAGCAAATATGAATTTACAATCAAAAATCGAGAAATATTTGGTAAAAAAATTAGATAATTTTTATTAACTTATAACTGAAATAAAATATGAAGTTTAGGTCGTTTAAATGGTAAAATAACAGTTCAAAGAAATGAATTAAAAGCACAAGAAGTTAAATTAAAGACTTATGAAAGAGAATTAACACGACTAAATTTTCTATATATAAATATTATTTATTTAGATAAAACAATATACTTTCTTTTTTATAGAAACAAGAATTATCCATTCAATATGATGAATTAGTTCACAAAAGTCATTCACTTAAAAACAAAAGCTCGTCAAATAGAACTTGAACAACAAAATCTAGCATTTTAGAAAGAATTAGATGATTGAGACGTTGAAGTAAGATTTTGAAAATTTTCTTTTATCATTAGTTTAATGAAAAAGCTGAACTTCTTAATCAAATCGACAGTATCGATAAATCAGTGAGATTATTTAATTTATTTTAGGAGAATATGGATTCGGATGCAGAATGAACACTAAACAACAAACATACTCTTATATTTCTCTGTCTGTGTTGAAAAATTGACCTGTACGATTTTTTTTCTTTTCTTTCTTTCTTTCAAGTGTCTACACGATATTATAAACATTGAACAGTAAAAATGTGAAAAAAAAAAGAAAAACCTACACCCTAAACCATATTACTCTAACATCAGAAAACATTTATTCTGTAACATCTTCAATATTACCTCATCATATGCTTAAAATATTTAAAAATAATTGTATCTCTTCATACACGTATTTATAATACTTTATTTTTTCTTTTGTTAATTTATTTTCAAACATTATTCGTGTTGACTTGATTCATTAAAAGAAAAATATTTTTGTTATTCTCTTCTTTCTTGATCGAATTCATTCCGAAATCGATCGAACGTTTATCAGGATCCATCACTAAACAACTCTATAAAAGATCAATAATTCTGGTGCTTGATACCATCTTGTTCTTATTTTATTTAATCAAAATCATTCAATTTCTGTATGATTTTTTTTATTAATCTACTTAACTTAGCCACATAATCAGTCATTTCAAGTTGTCGAACTACATTAATAAAAATAAACATTCATTCATTTTTTTCTAATTTCAAATAAAACTTACTCATCAATCTTGCAGATCCAAAATCACATAAATTCATATTCTTTCTTCTAGCTAGTTTTCTTTTATTATACTTCTATATATAAAACTCATTGTATACAAGTGACATTTAGTTACTCATGTAGACGTGAATGATGATGTATTCGAAAAGTCGTACAGACAATTATTTGTTGTAAAAAACATTTTTCAGCTAATTTATATAATTATGCTACCATTAGCTTGCACAATTTTTGTTTCTAATAACTAGCGTCATCTAGTATCTTATATTGAAAAAGAAAACAAGAATATGGTGATTATTAGAAATGAAATTTCTAAAAGTTAATTCATAGGTACATTATTTTCTATAGAATATTATTATATAATAATAGATTGATTGTAGCGTAAGAAATTCAAAGTTTAATGTAACGAATCTCGAAGGCTATTCGAACTAGTTATTTTCTAATTGGTCAAAAAAATTTTATTTAACCAATAAAATATTTAAACCGGCTAACTCTTGTAGCTAATTCATTCGTATATGTCTGTTGTTTTTGCTTATGTCTCTCTCTATATTTGTTTTCTTGTCATGTTGTATCACTATATAAATTTATGATTAAACTTTTACATTCACATCCTCAAAATCGTTTTCCTTGTAAGTTAATTAATTTTAATATTGTTTTTTGAAAAACAATGAAATTTTTCTACTTAGAATCTATTCATATAGATTAACAAATATACAAGTATATATATCTTTTGATATCGTATGACGATTTGTTTAAATAAAAATTTCATGTCGTCTTCAACAAATTCTCATTATTATACACATAATAATAATAATCATCGAACAAGTTCACGTGATACATCATATTCTCATCATCATCAATCCCTTCTTGAATCTGTATCATCGGAATCATCATCACCGGAAACTAATACAATAAATACAGAAAAACATAATCGATCGTCAACATTAAAAAAAAAACATAAACACAGTCGACAACGATCATCTGAACGAAAGTCTCGAACACGTCGTTCATCATCTAGTGATATTAATAATGAATCTAATCAACATAGGTAGATATTTTGTTTAAAGAAATTTTTTTAATTGTTTTTTTCTTCATCTTAGTAGTCGAAATTCTCATCGTTCACGACATGATACAACAAGTCGATCATCACGTAATTCTCAACCATCTTATCATCATGTGCATTCCCGTGATACAACAAATGAAACAACTTTAAATGACACAAATTTTGATATGAAACATAAGAAACGAAAACATCATACAGATAACAGTAATTATTCATCAAAAAGACGTCGACCAAGTCCATCATCATCATCATATCCTGTGCCACTTTATTCTTCTTCTTCTTCTTCACATCATTATCATCATCGTAGAAAATCAAAATATCATCGAAAATCTTCATCATCATCAACACATTCAAGTGAACATTCATCATTAAATGAAAATGATAATAATAATCAATATCAACGATCAACAAAAGGAACACTTGCATCAGAACTTGATAAATTAAGACCAAAAATAGATAAAAAAAAAAACAGTAACAACTAATATTCAAACACAAAATGAACAAGAATCAAAGAATGATATAGATGTAAGTATAATAGAAAAAAAAAACAAGAGATAGAAACTTGAATAAATGATTTTATATTTAGACAAACATCAACTCGAATGATATAACTTCTAATATAAATCGTTCTGAGTAAGTTTTCAATCGAATAATAAAAAAAAGACAATTTTAATTACATATTAATATTAAAATAGTAATTCACGTCGTCGATCATCCAATGTACCACAATCAAGTGGTCAAACACATTTAATACGATCATTACCAATGCCACCAGATTATAAACAAGATCCTCTTTCACCTTCAAGTCCAGTAAATACTTCTCCAAATGCATCTGATAAACCTATGCGTCGACCATTGTAAAACAAAACAAAGAAATTTCTATTGATAAAAAGTTTATTTATATTTCTTTTTTAAGAATTCTTCAACGTCGTGAGGAGATGGTAAAAAATCAATGGGGTGAACGAACTGTTGAAGTCTATGAAATTTTAGCAAAAATAGGTGAAGGAACATATGGTGAAGTATTTAAAGCACGTGAAAAAACAACCGGTTTGTTCACATTAAGAAAAAAAAATTGAATTTTTTTTGAAATAAATATTTAGGTGATTTATGTGCATTAAAAAAAGTTCGATTAGAAAATGAAAAAGAAGGTTTTCCAATAACAGCTATACGTGAAATACAAATTCTTCGTCAATTAACTCATCCAAATATAGTTAATTTAAAAGAAATTATTATGGATGCACGAAATATAGTTGATATTAAAAATGATACATCATTTTATTTAGTTTTTGAATATTGTGATCATGATTTATTTGGTTTACTTGATTCCGGATTAATTGAACTTGATATTGAACATATACGAGCATTTGTTTTTCAACTTATGTCCGGTTTAGCTTTTTGTCATCAAAGAAAATTTTTACATCGTGATATAAAATGTTCAAATATTTTATTAAATAATAATGGAAAAATCAAATTAGCTGATTTTGGTCTTGCACGTTTATATAATGCAGAAGATAAAGATCGACCATATACAAATAAAGTTATTACTTTATGGTATAGACCACCAGAATTATTACTTGGTGAAGAAAGATACGGACCATCTATTGATATATGGAGTTGTGGGTATGTATAGAAATAAAAGATTGCATTGATGAATAAATTGATTTTTTTTTCTAGTTGTATTTTTGGTGAATTATTTACTCGTAAACCTTTATTTCAAGGACAACGTGAAGATGAACAATTAGAATTAATTTCACGTTTATGTGGCTCACCAACACCAGCTGTTTGGCCAGAAGTTATTCATTTGCCACTTTTTGCAACATTAAAACAGAAAAAAACTTATCGAAGAAAATTAAGAGAAGATTATCAATAGTAAAAAAATAATTTATTTTTATTTTTTGAAATTTAATTCTTCTCGTATAATTTCTAGTATTCCTGAACCTGCTTTGGATTTATTTGATCGTATGCTTGAATTAGATCCAGCTAAACGAATAAGTGCAAGTGATGCTCTTCTTTCAAATTGGCTTAAAGATATCAGTGAAGAAACAATACAACCCATACAGTAAATTTTTTTAGTTTTTATTTTTATTTTTTTATTTAATTATTTTTATTTAGATTACCAATTGCACAAGATTGTCATGAAATGTGGAGTAAAGAACATAGACGATTAGCACGTCGTGGTTGGAGTGAAAATGAAATTCAAGCACATTTTAAAGAACGTGAAATAATTGAATATCAACGATATAATCAAGGAGCTGGTAAAATATGGCCAAATTTAATTTTCATCTTTCCGCGATTGATAAGAATCATATTTTAGTTTTTTCATATTTACTTTGATTAGATAAGAATTAACTTCCGTTATTTCCTCTAAATCATTTTATTTAAAAATGATGAAGAAAGATAAAAAAAAATGTTTTTTTTGTTCTGTTCTCTAGACATGCAAATGGATAGTCCCGATGATTCAACAAATATTAATACTGAAAGGTAAATTATATAAAAAATTCTATGACACTAATAATATTTCTTTTTATTAATTTTTAGTTCAAAACAACAACAACAACAACAAATAGATAATAATAGTTCTTATCATCAATCAACTGAAATGGTAGGTTCAACAACATTATCAGCAAAAAATGGAAGCAGTATTATTAATAATAATAATAATAATAATAATAAATCAAAATAAAATTTGGAACATTTATTTCAAACTTCAATTATCTATTTATTGATACCGTTCGTCTTTTTCTTTTGTCAACTATATTACATATATATATATCTATATGTTTTTTACAAACAAAACAAGTCAAGAAATATTTGATTTCATATCGACGATATCCATTACCGTTCGTTTCTGTCAATTTGAATAAAAAAAAAAACGAGAAATTGTGTATGTGAAAGTGTGTTGATGTCAATGCGTTTATGTCTTTGTCTCTATCTTCTTTTTTTGTCTTTTCTTCTTTTTTTTTCTGTGCTTTTCCTTTGTCTTTTCAAATAGCTTCCAACATTGAATGAATCAGATCATCACACAAATACGACGGAATTATATATATATATATATATATCTAAATATATCTATGACAACCAACTTTCATCTAGGATAGGTGATTTTTTCTACAATAGATGACAAAAAAAACACAATATGGATAATGAGAGAATTTTGACAATGAAAACGTTTTTTTTGGATATAATTTGAAGATTTTCAAATGGAAAAATTACTGGTTAAACGTTACATAGTTCAAGATTTTCGAAGTGAATAAAAGTCATATTTCTTTTTCTTTTCATGATTATACTAAAACACACTATATATAATAATCAAATGTCATGTGTGATGATCTTTTTTTGTTCCTGTTGAGTCGCTATTTATGCTTTTCAGATTTGGATTTGTGATGATAATTTGCGTATAATATACGCTTTCAACTTAGACTGAAAACTCTTTCAAGAACATATTTTATTTCAATTTTTAAAATTCATCTTTTTCCATTATCAAAACAAAAACAATATTTTTCTTAACTAAACATATCGATTTACTTTCTTTTTTCCTTGGAAAAATCTCATCTTTTTCCATTTTACTTCTAGTGACATCTGTCGATAGATTTTTCAACATATAAATCTCTCTCTAATGTTATTTTTTTTTTCTTCCTCTAGGTTGATCATTAACAAAATACAATCATTTATCATTCATGGCATGTGAATTAAAAATCTTGTTCAAAGACATTATTTTTGTTTTTTTTCTTGTTCCTTTTTGCTATCTCATATAAAATGTTCAGATATTTAATTCTGTATATATATACATATACATATGATTATTCTATGTTGTTTGTTTTTCTATATTCTTCAATGAATGATTTTTTGCGAAATAATCGCAAACAGAACAAAAAGAAAAAAAAGTACACACGTATATGACCAAGAAACCGGCACACAAGAAGTAATATACAACAACATCAAGAAATAGGCATAATAAGAACAACAAGAAGAACAACAGAAAAAAAAAAAGTAAACAGAGTTCTCTAGAAATTTTTTTATGTGTGTCTGGTTTGATGAACAGAAGAAAAACAGAAGTTTATGCTGGATTTTCTTTTTTTAATCATGACAAAAAAAAAACATGTATATAGAATAGATATATATATCTGAAGATTATTCTTGTTCATCATCATCGTCATCATCTCCACTTTCATCGGCACCGCTATCAGCCGATGCACCAGCGGCTGCTTTTCGAGAATTCGATTTACCAGCAGATGCTTTTGAATCTCCTATAAAAAAAAGCAAATTTTTTTTTATATATAAATATTATTTCTTTGTTTTTTTTCTTTAACTACCTTCATCATCTTCACCATTTTCTCCCTCGTCTTCATCATAATCATCTTCTGAACCATCTTCTTCGTCATAATCGCCTGCTTCTCGATCTCCAGCAACTACCTGAAAAAATTCAAATAAAATTTTAACTTTTATTTCTATTAGATTTTTTATTTGACATACATCATCATCATCTTCATCATCATCATCATGATAGTTTCCATTTTTATGATTATTAGATGAATCATCATCAACTACCGTTGGTGCATCACCATTAGTACCATTTTTTGTTGCTTTCAATGCTTTTAATTTAGTTGGACTAACATCATCCAATTCAGCTTCACGTTTAGTACCTAGAAAAAAATTTAATAGTTAGTTTAGAATACTTTAGGAACAAAAATGAAAGTCCGTTCACATACCCTTGGTGGCAGTAGCTGTCGGCGAAGACAATGCGTCAGTTGAATCGGCCATTGATTAAGTTTAGTTGGTTGATAGGAACACAGTAGTAGTGAATGCGAGAATAGATGGAAGAGAGAAGGGAGGAATCAAATCAACATAGGGCCAACACAGAAAGAGAGAGAGAATATGACAAGCAACTATTTCTTCTTCTTCTTCTTGTTCTCTTTCGTCTTTCTCTCGTTCCTTCTCTCTTCTTTTTGCTTGCAGCGATCGCCGAGTAGTAGTGCGCGTACGTCGTCGTCTATCTTCGTTTTGCTCGCTGCTTTCACATAGAGCTATATATGTGTCCTTTCACTGTTGTCGCTCTTTGGCACATATAGACATAGACATATAGCATAATGAGAGAGAAAGAAGAAAGAAGCTTCATTCTCTTCATCATCTTTTTCCACCAATCCATCTTTCTTTTGCACTAGTCGACAACGACGACGGCGCCGCCGCATTATACCGTCGTAAATAGAGGCCATTGCATATGCGTGTACACTACGCGCCACTATACAAACCGAAACAATAGACTCTTTCTGTCCTTGAGAGAAAGAAGAGAAAACGACATCGACGACGAGGGCAACGACTATATACTGGCGATTCAATAGCGGCAGTGTAAGCAAATAAACTTAATGCTGTTTTCTTCAGCTAACGGAAAAGAAAAGAAAAAGAGATAAAGTTGGAAAGCAATCTTTTCTCTATCATACTGAACAAGAAAATGATTCTTTTTTCCTTTATGATTATATTATCTATTTTAACAACTATTAACTCTCAAAATTTGATTTATATTTAGTACATCATTAAACTTGATTGACTTTTTTCTATCTAACTATTCTTTGGATATGTAATTTTGTTGAAATAAAAATAATCAACTATCATATCAGAGCAAAAGAAAAAAAAACAAAATGAATATTCAAATTTTTATATATCCGGTTATGATGAATCGTATATTCCAATGTTGATAATATACTTGCCTCAAAAAAATATTTATTGTTTTTTTAAGAATCAAAATCAGTTTGAATTAGAAGATTGCTTTTTTTTTGTCAATATGAAATATGATTTTTATCAAATTACATGTACTAAGAAAAGAGCCGTAGAATGTGCATGTCTCAAAGAACACACTATTTCAAAGAATGGAAGAAAAAAAAACCAGTTCAATACCAGATCTCTTCTGGTGTACGTCAAATATTAGCCAATCGGATATAAACACAAGAATGTCGATGCATTCATCATCATCTTCTTCTTCGAAGAATGATGATGATTCAGAAGTATATAGGTCGATGTTTGCATAAAGAAAATAATAATAATAATAATAAAGCAGAAATAATCTTCGAGCCTGACATGTTTTCTTTATATGTATTAGAATGCAAATGATATGTTTTCTTTTATATAAATAAGATATAAAGACAGTGAATAAAAAGAAAAGACATATAAGATACTAATGATGCACTAAGTAATACAAGTAAATTTAAAATAAGTATGCTAATAAAAAATACCTAGATGAATTCATTCTTAAAAATAAACACTTCATAAGTTATTTTTGAAATTATTTGATTTTTATTACTATTCGATTTATATTTAAATGTGGCATAGTATTCATTAGCAAAATTATATTTTAACATTTTTTATAAATAATATATTTAGTTAATATTATGCAGAAGAAAAGAAAACATATGTATGATAGATATGAAAATATTTTACTTGGTTCCCATACGTCTCATTGTATTAATTAATGATGATGTTGAACTATTACGCAATTGTTTACTAGCATTCCTATTGATTATTATTGTAGTATTACTTGTTACTGGTCGTACTGGAGCACGTAAAGTACTGTAAAGATTAGTAAACAATGATGTTACTAATGATGGTGCTTGATTTTCAAGAACATTAACAATTTTTTTGCCAATATTTGGATTTAGCATTTCTTTAACACCTGTTGCTATAATTTGACCAATAATAGCACCTATACGATCGAGTGGAAGAATTGAAAGAATGGTTGCCATTGTTTCATGATCCGATGTTATATTATTATCATTATATGAATATTCACGACGAACACGTCGTTGATGATAACGTCCATAATAAACAAATGGTTTTGGTGGAATTATTAGAGTTGCATTTTCAGTTGAATCTATTGAATAGATAATAATTTATTCGAAAAAGATAAATTGCAAAAAAGAAAGATTATAACCTGTATCGTTCCATGCATGGCAATGATCGATTGTAATAAAAAGAACCAATATTCCAATGATTAATATAATAGATTTTATCATTGTCAATAGTATGATTTAAAAATGAAGACAAAATGTATGTCTATCATTACTTTTATAGACTAGTTCATTTTAACAAGATCCATCCTCCATTACAAGTAAATATGTACTATGTAATAATGTAATTATCAGAATAAAAAAACTATCTATTGACCCAACAACCAATGCAATCAGATTTTTGTCATTATTTACAATCACAACATTACAAAAATGATGAATCAAAATCGATTTTTTTTTGCTTCTTTTTTTTTTAAATACTTTTTCTTTAAAATATAATCGTTGTTGTCGAGTTCTTTCTTCTGTTCTCTTCAATGGTTACTAACGAAGAACGACGTAAAAGAAGAAGAAAAAAAAAGAAATAAATGAGAAGAATTCTTCAATAGGTATATCAGCCATTACTGAAAGATTACAATGACGAATAAAAGAACAAGTAAATAAATATGTTTACATTTGATCATGAATTACATTTCTATCTATTATTTTATTCTAGATATTGGAGATAATATTAATTACAGTTCAGTATTAATGAATAGTACAATGCAAGATTATCGTGCACAGACTCTTGATCGTCATCGTTCAATTCAAAACCATCAAGTTCATTCAGTCATGGATAATGATTCAAAAAAGAAAGCTGCAACACAATCATCATCTGATAATGTTAATTACAGTTCAGCATTAATGAGTAGTGCGATACAAGATTATCGTGCACGAACTCTTGATCTTAGTATGCCTGGTCGTTTTTCAAATCAGAATCAAATTCGTCTTCGTCCTATTCAAAAACATCGAGTTCATTCAGTCATCGATACCGGTTTAAAAAAGAAAAATGCAACGCAATCATTATCATCTCCACAAACTTTACCAATAATAAAACCAGTAACTAATGAAGAACGTGAATATGTTCTTCAAGATCCTCACACATCAATGATTTCTCATCGACAACGAGAAACTTTAGCTGAACGTATTGGACTTATTCAAACAACTAACAAAGCAGATAATCATTTAACTGAAGCAGCATGGAATGAAGTTAAACAACGTTCAAATGATCGTCAAGATTCTAATTGTCCATGTCCAATATGTCAAGAAGATTTTGGTCTTGGACAACAGGTACTTCTTTCATGTTCACATGTTTTTCATCGAGCTTGTTTAATAACATTTGAAAAATTTGTTTCTAATAATGCTAATGGTACCGATCTTCGTACATGTCCTCTATGTCGTCGTTCACAATATGAAAAACGTATTATACATGAAGGCGCAAAAATTCATCGCGCCAAATGTGCAGCTCGTATTCAAGCTGCATGGCGTGGTTATATTGTTCGACA